TGAACAGCTTTTCTGTTATCTCACTGGTGAAATGAGGAGAGGAGAGGTGACATAGGTCAGCAGGTCATAATACTATAGGCCTCTGAGATGACAGACCTCAAACCAAATGGTATTTTGCAAAGAATTTGAACCTGAGAGTCAAGGAAGGTGGGATGGGGAACAAGGAGACTCTTGCCAGCTCTGATCCACCCCTGTTCTGCCAAAAGCATAACTTAGCACTATCAGGGCCCTTCATCCTCACCAATAGCAAGAAATGGAGATCTTCTTTATTGTATTTTATTTTTTAAATTCTTGCCATCCTCCTCCGCATTTTTGAGACTCTCAAGACACTCCAAGTCAAATTAATGTTTAATAAACAGCAGTGAAAAAGTAAAGCTTGATCACTTGAACACATTTAGTGAGAAGGTAAGCTGACAGAAGGAGATAAATAGAGGAGTACACAAGTGGATAGGATACGGGAACAGCAGATATAAGTCACACAGAGGACTAGTCTTACACTTTAAACAGAATGAAGAAAATCCTGGTTTAGCTCTTTGAAAAGACATGTAAACTAAAATGATATAAATGAAATGGGTGCAAAGCATATTCATTAAGAAAAGCAAAAAATTCTGTAGTGAGGGCAAGTACCAGGTAAAGTCTTAGCAAAAGAATATACAACGGGGTAAAGGAAGTCTCTTCAATAAATGGTGCTGGGAAAACTAGTCAGAGATATGCAAAAAAGTGAAACTGGACCACCTCTTACCATATACAAAAATAAACTCAAACTGGATTAAAGACTTAAATGTCAGACCTGAAGCCAGAAAACTAGGAGAACACATAGGCACTAAACTCTTTGACACTGTTCTTTGTAATATATTTTTGGCTATGCCTTCTTGGACAAGGGCAACAAAAGCAAAGAAAAACAAATGGGATTACATCAAACTAAAAAGTTTTTGCACAGTGAAGCAAACCATCAACAAGATGAAATACAACCTACTGAATTGGAGAAGATATTTACCAATGATATATCCAAAAACCAAAACATATAAGGAACTCATGCAACTCAACATCAGAAAGTCACTGGAATGTTTTCATCAATGTTTCTTCCTCTCTTCTGAGAAAAATGTTTTACATGATTGTAGTAAGAAATGGTAGGGTTGGTCACTGTTTGGCTTCTGTTTGCTAACAGAAATATTAGCCCACAATTATGTGTTTTTCAGAGTCACATCTTAAAACTCCTTACACAGCATCTCTCTAAATAACCCTTCAGCTGAAGTGTCTTGAAACAAGGCTTTTCGTTTTCCCTCAGTTGTTAAAACTCCCAAAGTGTTTCCTGCCACCATGGTAACTCCACAGGCCACCACGACAGGGTGCCCACAAAGGAGAGTGGGAATAAAGAATCAATACACATGAACCCAGCCTTAGTTCCCATTAGTTCTTCTCCTATGATATACTGTACCTTTCACCACTAGCCCAAAATACCATTCCAATGAAATATTAGGAATCAGAAAATTATATGTACTAGTCAAGCTTTGGCTCAAGCAGGACACTTCTTTTTTAATTCTTTGTGTGTGTATGTGTGTGTGTGTGTGTGTGTGTGTGTGTGTGTGTGTGTGTGATTAAAGCACTTTAGTAAGGTTACTCCCTCAATAGAGTGAGCTTCTCAAATACCCATTTCTTTTTCTTTTCTTTAAAATTTATCTTTATTGTTGAAAGTATTACAGGTATCCCTTCCCCCTCAACTGACCCCCTCCACCCACCCCACCATGCGGCCTATTGCAGTATTGTCTATGTTCATGGGTTATGCAATATGCACATAAGTTCTTTGGTTAATCTCGTCCCATCCCCCCTCCCCACTTCCCTCTGATATTCATCAGCCTGCTCCATGCCTCCATGTCTCTGGATTTATTTTTGTTCGTCAGTTTATTTTGTTCATTATATTCTACATATACAGTAAGTGAGATCATGTGATACTTATCTTTCAAAAGCATTTCTGATAACTATTTCCAACATCAAACAGGGATGGAGTGTCTCCCCTCACACTCCAGTGATGGGCTCTGTACTCCTCTAGGTGTCACCACTGCTTTTTTACCTGTTGATTTCTTCTCTGCACTCTGCATTCTAAGCTTCTTAAAGAAAGAAACATATTCCTCACCTCAGAATTCCAAGGAACCAACACAGGTTCGAGGACCAACAAGTACTCAAATGTGAGATGAATTAATAAATTCATCAATTACTTTATTTCTGAATAAATAATTCTGCAGGCTATACAGTTTGTGAAGAACTTTCACATTTACTGCCACATTTGATCCTAACAACATCCATGAAGTTCCCCTTAGAAAGGGCTAAAATTGTCCCCATCTATAGATGAAAACACTGAGGCTGAAAGAAACCAAGTGTCTTGGCTAATGTCACACAAGGAGCAGAAAAAAGATTTCATGAAGGTTTCTGATCTAAATGATTTAAACTCTCTCATTAGAGTCTTGCCTCTCAAATAGAGGATTGTTTGGGACATCATGAATATTAAACTACTTTTTTGGGGTCCCGATTTATAACACATGCTCACTATAATCATGGGTGCTTGCATGCCATTCTTGGATTTTATTTATCTGTTTGTTTATACATTTAATTCTATGTAATCACTGGTGTATACTAGTATATATCCTAATCTTTATTATGATTTAAGAGTTTATTACATAACTGTCCTGGAATAAAGGGAAGCTCCAGGAGAGGAACATCCTCCTGAACAATGCAATGTACTCAGATAGTAACAAACTCTCAGCACTGATGTAAAACAATAATGTTGGTATGTGCTTGAGTGAGAGAAATATTGTACTATAAAAGGACATTAAATCATGGCATCCTATATAATAAAAGCCTAATATGCTAAGTATCCGGTCACCCAGTCGGCCATTCAACCAAAGTGTAATATGCTAAAAATATGCTAATAACATGCTAATAATATGCTAAAGCTGCTCAACTGCTTGCTATGATGTGCACTGACCACCATGGGGCAGACGTTCTGACCAGTAAGTTAGCTTGCTGCTGGGGTCCGGCCGATCTGGACTGAGCCAGACAGGCCAGACATGCCCTGGAGCCCTCCCACAGTCCCTCCCTGGCTGGCCAACCTCCCATGTCCCTCCCTCACACTCCAGTGATGGTCTCTGTACTCCTCTATTCTAAGTGTCAACACTGCTTTTTTACCTGTTGATTTCTTCCCTGGTCCCAATTGTGCACCAATGGGGTCCCTTGGCCTGGCCTGCACCCTCTCGCAATCCGGGACCCCTCAGGGGATGTCGGAGGGCCAGTGTCGGCCCAAGGGTGGAATGACCAGTCGTTATGACATGCATTGACCACCAGGGGGCAGACGCTCAATGCAGGAGCTGCCCCCTGGTGGTCAGTGCGCTCCCACAGAGGGAGTTTCACTCAGCCAGAAGCCCGGCTCATGGCTGGCGAGCGCAGCAGCAGTGGTGGGAGAGGCTCTGTGGCAGCGCTAAGAATGTCTGACTGATGGCTTAGGCCCACTTCCCATGGGTGTACAAATTTCATGCACTAGGCCTCTAGTATGTACTAAAAAATTAATTTAATTTTAAAACTTCTCTCTTTTCTCCCACCCTGCCATGCTCTTTCTTATGAGAAGAGAAGCACATGAATTTCCCCTCTGTCAACTCAACTACAAATTCTAAACAAAATTCACCATCAAGACCAGAAAGGCAGAATTTCAGATCAGCCTTCCTCTCTTTCCATGTCATCCCTTACATTCCTTCAGGAAGGGACAAAGCCTTTCAATCCAGTTAGAGATGTCTTCCACCAAGAACTTGACTCACTGATGACTCTCAATAAATGTTCTAATTGACTTAAGAATTTCAGGCTGCAATCTTCAACTCCAGTTCATAGTTTTTATGGAGGTCTTTTGGTTAAAATATTAACATCAACAAATATGCCCACTCCCACTGATACAAAACCTATCTATCTTTGAGTTAGGGGAGGAAGTATAACAGACTGGAGACATGAAGTGCCTAGAATTTAAAGTAAGGTCATCCTCTATAAAAAAAATAAATAAATATTTATAAAAGGAAAAAAAGTACCAAAAAGGCAAAGCAGCATGAGTTGAGGAAATCAAACTTAGATTCCATGATGCTGCTAAGGATAAGTGTAATTCATCATTAGCTTAGAGGAGCCAATGAGCACGTGCGCAGAGGTACTTTTTATCTCACAGCTGCACACCCAGGCAGTTTCAAATGATTCATGAAGATTTCATTTTAGTCTTCAACACATCTGACCTCATATATTAGTAAAGAAGCTATGTTCCTAGGATTCTGAGAATGGCTTAGATATGTAAAGATGGGTCAGTGAGCCATATTGAAAATATTAAGTCCTTACAACCAAAATTACCCTACCCAGCAAGGCTATCATTTAAAATTTAAGGAGAAATAAAGAGTTTCTCAGACAAGACAAGGTTAAAGGAGTTCACCACCACCAAACCATATTATAAGAAATGTTAAAAGGTTTTCTTTAAGAATTAGAAAGAAAAGATTAAAAATAAGAACAATAAAAGGCAATAAATACAAGTCTATCAACAATTGAATCTAAATAACAAAATAAATGAACAAGTAGAACAGAAACAGACTCATAGATATAAAAAACATTTTGTCAGATGGGAAGAGGGTGGGGGAATAATTAAAAAGGTGAATGGATTAAGAAGTACAAATTGGTTGTTACAGAATAGTCATAAGGATGTAAACTACATCAGAAGGAATTCGTCAATAATGTTCTAATAACTACGTATGGTGTCAGATGGGTATGAGATTTATGAAGATGATCACTTAGTAAGTTATATAATGTCTACACTGGGTTTTATACCTGAAACTAATATAATATTGTATATCAACTGTAATTGAAAAGTAAGAATATAAAAATAAAGAAAGTTATTAAGTATTGCCTGTAGTTATAGGAATCCTGAGAAAGAGACAGACACACACGCAATCAAATTATGTTTAAATAAAAAAGCCAACACCTACACTCCAGTCCAGAGTTGCTCTGGGCTCCTTCGCTGGACCATTTGCCACAGGAAGACCGAGGGGATGAGCAGGAGTCAGGTGCTGCAGGCCTGCCCGGGAGATTGCTTTCCTGCAGCAAGAAAGACAAACACACAAAGAAAAAGCACATCAGGAGGTAGTACAGAGCAAAAAATTTCCCATGGGGTAGAAATGATGCTTGAGTTAGTCTTCTACATGTGCAAACTGTATTGGAATATATCTCTTTAAAGTTCATGGTGAAGATAGAAGGTTGGGAGGTCTCAAAGATAGGGAGGTTGAGGGGGTCACTTTGGGACAATACTACTTCAGGACGACAAATTAAAATGTAAGTCCCAGTTGAAATTAGAGGGCAGGATGGGTTGGGTAGACACAATACTTGGACAAGTTTAAAGCTGCCAGACAGTAAAAGCAAGAAAAGCAGGCTCATAAGGTCTTCTACTGAAATTCCTCCACTTCCCAACCAAAGTACTCTTCAAGCTGGCCACATCACCAAGTTTACTCTGGCTCCTCTTAGGAACATCCTCCCTTTCTCTTGAAGAAGATTTGTACCAGTAGCTCGAGGTTCTAAATGGGAGAAGACTGAGTTGTATCTGCCAAGAAATCTCAAACACTGAAAGACCAATATCTTACCAAGGTCCCAGCAAGAAAAAAATCTAGAACGTGTTGTTTAGACTTTAGGTTTATTGAGTGGAACATAAATGGATTCAGGTGAGAAAGGTGGGAAAAGAAAGTCAGCCCTGACTTTGATCTGCAAAGATAAGAAATAAGAGGAGCCCCTTTAGCAAGCAACTATGACTATTGCTGAGAAAAGGAAAGGGAGGCAAGATAACAAAGTGGGGAGAATGAGAACAGCAAGATAGAAGGAGAAAGCAGGGTTCACCCAGGGAGATCCTGTAGTATCATCATGAATAACAGAAGTCAGTTTCCGAACATCTCCATCAAAAAACGCCAAACAAAGGTCTTCAGCTTAAATATGAGTGCTCAGGCGTGAATTAACTACTAGTAAGAAGCTTCTAGAAGGGCCAGGAGCTTTCCCTCTGCAGAAGTGACCGGATGTGCTCTGAGAATTACCTGAGCTAGAATTAGGTGGATCTTGTGACGCTGCAGCTTTGAGTCCTGATCAGTCTGAGGGGGAGGCCCGGGAATTTGCATTTACAAATGCATATTCCTTCTGTAAGCTAAAAGTTTACAAACGTCTCTATGGGAATCTGAAAGGATTTTAATCTAAAATGGAACTGGAGAATATGAAATGGAGAATCGCACACATGAGCCCTCAGGAAAAATAAGAACTGAGAGACTGATTTCCCATAAATGCCTGATTTATAGGAGACCGAAACTTATCCCTGGGCCAATGATCATTTGCCAAGAATCTCTCCCCACCCTCCAGCCAATGAACTTGCTGTTTGGACTCTGGCTAGGCTCACATCTCCTTGCCGCTTTGCCCATAAAAACAGCTCACCCCAAACCATTAACAGACTCACCTGTAGCTTGCTACAGTCTGTGTGTCCTGAATTGCAATTCTCCTGCTAGTCCCGAATAATCTGAATTTCTGGTAATTCGATCTTGGGTCAGTTTACCTCTTAATTTAGGTTGATAGGGCAGGTGGAAGAGCACTAACTTACCCAGGCCCATCAAGGGGGAGCCCTGAAGGAAATCATCAGCAAGTTCATTGTGCACTTCACCCCATTAGCTCTCTGCAGCCTGTTTCATAGAACGTGAACATCTGCCATCTGTTACTGGACCCACAGCACATCAGGTCCCCTGAGAGGCCCAGACCCTCAGACTCCTTCACCCATCTCACTCTACAGAGAACCAAGGTTCCAGACAGTGAGATGGGGGAAAGACAGGCAGTGATGCCCAATATATGGTGAATCCCATCAACTGAGCCATTGAAGGAAAAGGAACTTGCCGGGGTAAAGGAGAGGAGTGAGAGCAGAAGCTAAAAGCGTCCTTGGGCCCTAGAAGGCAGGTGATCTCACTGTACTGTTCACAGAGCCCTGCAGACTCCACCCAGAAGTAGAATTTATAAAGTTGAGAGAGATGAGCAGCAGCCCACAACCTGAAGAAAAGCTGGGCAAGAATCCAGAAACGAACCCAGGACTGTGCAGCCACTAGTCAACGACCCACACATGTGCCCTGAGCAAGTGTCCAGCCCTTAATATACTCCTATTCCTGCACAGGAAGTCCCAGAATAGCGTCTGGGTCTTCGGTAGTCAGGAGTGATCACATCAAGCTTGCCCGTAGCTGACTTTCGGAAGCTCCCACCAGGCAGCAGGCAATGTGCTTGCCTTATATAAGCCCCCACAGAGTCATTACAAGTATGTGGGCCTTTAATGAAGACAGCCTGAGGACATGATATTCTCTTTCCTCACTTTCACCCAAGCAAATAATTAACAACATCAATTTGGCCCCTCACCCCGAAGTATATTCTATTTTATTGAGCAATAAGAAAAGAATGCTGGCCTCGACAATAAAGATAATTTTTTTTAATTCGGAAAACAAAGAAAAGAATACTGGAGGATTCTTATAGGGTGATCCTTTATCCCCCCAAGTGTTTTCCTCCACCTGAGTTCAAGGAGCTTCTTTCGCATTTTTAATCGGGACTTTTCCCTGGCTTTGAAGGACTTGGTATAGTGATTCTGAGTTAGTTTTCATCACTGAAAAAATCAGATCTCTGGTAGGAGGTGCAGAGATGCGGGAGAGCGGAGGAACGGAGGTGTGTGAAACAGGCTGGCAACTGGGTACGCTGTGGTCTTTTTTAATCAGGAGGGAAATACAAACTCGCAACTGCTCTGAACTCCAGTTCCGAGCGAGACTCTGGGGACCCAGACTCATAGAGGGAGAAACTGGACTGTCTGGCATCAGGCCAGAACATGAGGGCGGCTTTCCCTCAGAGGTGCTTGCAGCATTAATTGTTCCTGCATGGGGCCGAGGGACACAGAGACCCAGGGACCTATCCGGGGCAGGGCCAACCCTCAACCATTGCTTTTTGCACCACCCCGTGATTCCCTGAGACCACGCTGCACCCAATTTACAACCCCACCCAAGCTGTGTGCAGAGGCTTTTGCATATGAATGTCCTGGCCTTTTGCAACATAACCTAACAAACTGCAGCCAGGTCAAAGAACCCCAAAGCTTCCAAAAGAAGGCTTAAGGCTCATCAGCAGCCTGCATTGCTTCACCGCTGCACCTCATCAGAGCACCTCCAAACCCCAAACAAAGAGAAGGAACCTGCAGATCTCTCTGTAGCTCCGGCTGGGTGGCCTCAGGCAATGGCTGACTTTACACCTCCTTGGAGATCCAAGAGCCAGTGTACCCAGTGGTCAAAGTGAGACCACACCAGATTACAACTCTTTAGATCCATAAGAGACACACTGAGGGGGCAGACTCAGTGAGCACCAAAGCCCCACTGAAGCAAGTCCTGCCCCATAAGGGTGTTTCCAGCACAGCAGTTTTCCCATTGTAGACACAACTGGTCCTCACAGCCAGTTGGTCTGGAGGTCAATTCCTCCCAGTGATACCAAAAGCAATCAAGGCTTAACTACAACAAGACTGTGCACAAAGACCACAATGGGTTGCATCAAGACCGTCCACCTCAGGTGACTAGGGAGGCTGAGCCACTGGGCCCTATAGGACACCTAGCACACAAAGCCACTCTATCAACATAGGGAAGCAGCCAAAATGCAGAGACAAAGAAACATGTCACAAATGAAAGAAATGGAGGAAAGCAAACTACTGGATATAGAGTTCAAAACCACAGTTATAAGGTTATTCAAGAATCTTCTAGAAACCTCCAAGAAATTTAGTGAGACCCTCAAGGATATGAAAAAAGAACAATTAGAAATTAAGCATACACTGACTGAAATAAAGAATAATATACAGAGATCCAACAGCAGACTAGAGGATCGCAAGAATCAAGTCAAAGATTTGAAATACAAAGAAGCAAAAACACCCAACCAGAAAAGCAAAAAGAAAAAAGAATCCAAAAATATGAAGATAGTGTAAGGAGCGTCTGGGACAACTTCAAGCATACCAACATCTGAATTATGGTGGTGCCAGAAGAAGAGAGAGAGAGCAAGCTATTGAAAACCTATTTGAAGAAATAATGACAGAAAACTTCCCTTACCTGGTGAAAGAAATAGACTTACAAGTCCAGGAAGCACAGAGAACCCCAAACAAAAGGAATCTAAAGAGGACCACACCAAGACATATTATAATTAAAATGCCAAGAGCAAAAGACAAAGAGAGAATCTTAAAAGCAGCAATAGAAAAACAGTTAGTTACCTACAAAGGAGTACCCATACAACTGTCAGCTGATTTCACAACAGAAACTATGCAGGCCAGAAGGGAGTGGCAAGAAGTATTCAAAGTGATGAACAGCAAGAACCTACAACCAAGATTATTTTACCCAGCAAAGCTATCATTCAGAATTGAAGGTCAGATAAAGAGCTTCACAGATAAGAAAAAGCTGAAGGAGTTCACCACCACCAAACCAGTATTATATGAAATGCTGAAAGGTATACTTTAAGAAGAGGAAGAAGAAGAAAAAGGCAAAGATAAAAATTATGAACAACGAAGTGACAACAAATACATATCTATCAACAAGTGAATCTAAAAATCAAGTGAATAAAAAGTCTGATGAACAGAATAAACTGGTCAATATAATAGAATCAGGGGCATAGAAAGGGAATGGACTGACAATTCTCAGGGGGGAGGGGGTGTGGAGGGGGTGAGAAGAGATTGGACCAAATCGAACACCTATGGACGAGGACAATGGGAGGGTAAGGGCATGGGGGGGTGGGAACTGGGTGGAGGGGAGCTATGGGGAGGAAAAAGAGGAACAACTGTAATAATCTGAACAATAAAAACTTATTTAAAAAAAAAGAGTCTGCAGATTTTGCTGTGTTTTGGGGTTGGTGTATGTATGTGGGGAGGGGGGTAGAGAGGGTGTGGGAGACAGGGATTTTATGTTTCAATTTGCTCCAATACAAAAATCAATGGGGTTTCAATTTATCATTCTTTTCTTCTGCTCAGAATCCTTTCAAACCCACAGTCAGTAAAACCGTGAAATGCCAATGACTATTATATTAAT